TGTATTAAGAGGCATTTTGCTGGAACGTGCACTCAAATAGCCAACAAAGGATATTCATATATACCGCCGAATACATACTATTCTATTCAATTAGATGAGTCAAGGATTGCAAGTGAAAATAATTATGTACGCTTTGTTAAATTTTTAAATTGTAGTTTTAAAGTGTGTCAATATTTACTAAGTGTATTTGGGTCGATGGTAATAGCACAGGAATTAAAATTAAAGACAGAGTTTTCGATTTAATTAAAAATAATTGTCTTGATATAAAAAGCATTTTTTTCTATTTGTTCAGATGGTAGAAGTAAGCTTGACAGAAGAAAAACAGCTGTGCGGTTATGAATTAATGAAATAACTAACTTAATAAACCCATCTTCCCTGTAACTTAATTTTGGTGTATTGCACACAGACAATCTCTTTGTTGTTGACCGATTGTCAATAATATTTTGGGTTTATTTGTAGTCGAAATGGTAAACGCTATAACATTGACACTTAAATATTCTGACACATTTCGTTACTGGCAAAAAGAAACAGGAAACGAGTTCAAATTAAAAGTATACAACCAAGTAAGATGGTTAAGCAGAGGAGAAATGTTAATGATATTATATGAACACTATAATCCAGTGTGTTTTTATTTCAATAAAGTATTTCATTCATTTAATATGATCAAACATTGGTCTTTTGATGAGATACTTAACACGCCAGCTTTTGATAAATTTAGATTATACTTGGCATTTTTATATGTTATTTTCGAAAAACTAAACATAATAAACAGAAAACTTCAAACATAATGTCTGTTAATGCCAGGGACAGTTATGTATGTGGATCATTTTCGATTTGATTTATGTGAATATTTTAATAATTTGGTAAGTGGCACAATTCCTATATCTTAAAAAAATTATAATTTTATCACAAAAAACAAAACATTATTGACATTAGATTATTTAAAATGTTTTTGGAAATTGTTTCTACACTCTTCTTTGAATTAAAAATTCAATCCTTATGCGTACATCGTTCCCTTGATTAAGAAATGATTTATAAGTACAACTAACGATTATAACACTCGTTATGGAAAACAAGAAAAACAATTAGATGGTGTTTTAAGAATACCGTGTTCATTTTTAAACAATTTTGGTGAATATTTACTTCGTTTAAAAATATGTCCGATATATTTTCTTCAAATAAAAATTGAAAGATATAAAAGTACTCTCGATCGACATGTGGTATTAGATAATATTAGAGATAATGAATTCTTCAAGTCTTGAAAACATAAAGGTTTTTCAAGACTTTAAACTCGATCAGGCTGCTCGTTTGAGTTTATCCACCCACAGTCCAATGTTTGATCCACTCTTAAGTCAATAACATTTTGCATTTTCTTAACTAATTCGTGATTTGTAATAAGTCTAACATCGAGCATTTGCGTAAAGGCCACAAAAAAAATAAAAAGAACGTTGTTTTGATTGAATATTATTATTTCTTGGTTGTTGTGTGATGGAAAATTATCCAAAAAGAGAATAGCGGGTCCATTATAATTATATTTAAAACGATAAAGCATCAACTCCTTTATAAAAACATTAACCACCCACTCTTTAAACAAAAAAACGTTCATTATTGATGTTGGAGAATATAAAATATGGGTGGTTGTTTTATTATAACCATAAAAACTGAATTTCCATTATATACTTTTGATGGGAATTATCACTGTGGATTAAAGTATATATCCTAGAGCATTTATTGATGCCACATGTGATACGTTTTTATCTGATTTGTCTATAGAACAATGAAAATCGGCGATAATTGCACTTTCTGGTATAAAAACTTTGGTATTGAAAATACCAAAAAAATCTTGATGCCAGACTCATCCATGTTAAAAATAAATGTAGTAAAACAGCATCAATATCATGATCTGCCTTTAAAAAGTAATTATAAAGCAATTGGGGAGATATTTCCATTCTTGATTATTCGACAATGCTTGTCAATATTTTTTAATCCCCAGAGATTTCATCAAACTTGTGATATAATTGGTAGTATATGTAACTTTAAAATATCTTGAAATGTAGTCCTGGAGATAATCAACAATAAAAAATCTTTCAGTATACCAAACTAATTTAAAGTATAGTAGTTCGTTGTATTAATTATGTTTTTGATAATTTGTATTGTCCACCAGAACTTTTAAGAATACCCAATTTTCTTTTTATACTTTTTTCAATTAAGTTATTCGAGCCACTGGTATCCCCCAAAAAGCAGTAATATTCTCATTTGTTAATACATGTTTTTATATTTTAACTTCTTGTTACTTCCTTGAGTTCTGCACCACCGTTCCATCATTGTTATTAGTAAGACTATTTGTTGTTGAAATGTTGTTGTGCGTTTTGTGTATTCTTCAAACGAAACAAATTCACAGATAAAATTTTCAAATGTAAAATAGTTTTTATAGTCTCTGTTTCGAAGTTCTAAAAGAAATTGAAGAAAATGAAATTGTTTATATATTAATTCAGCCTAACAACACTCAACAAATAGTTCATTATTAATAATTAATTATTTTTGTTTATTTGTTAGTGGAAATTCATTTAAGTTTATGGTTGTACCATCATCGAAAGTATTGGTTTTAAAAATAAAATTATTGAAACTATTTTTATTGTTGTCTTTAATTTGGAGCATATCAAGGTCACTTGTGACGTATTCGTCCAATGTCAAACACTTTTCAGTACACTGTTGTTTTTTAAAACTCAACATTTAAAAAAGATGTGGTGCATTTTATGAACATATGGTGGTAACTGGATTTTTGTTCGCCTTATCCATTTAAATTTTATAGTTTAAAACAAAATATTTTTCAACAAAACTATTAATATTTTTTTTATTAATTTTTTTTATTTTTATAGAACCCTAAATGTCTTTTTATCTATATTAAATTGAGATTAAAATGTGACTATTTAGTTTTAAAATGCCCCACTTTTAGTATCAAAATTCCCAAATAACCTTTTAATTAATAAGCGTATTTAAATTTAGCTTCTCATTCCGTTTTCTGTACATGTTAATATATATGACATTTTTTTGTTTATGTTTCAGATTAAAAGTATGAAACTGTTATTACTATTATCAAAAAAAGTTAATAAATTAATTGTTTATATATCGACTTACTATATTTACAAAAAACAAAAATGAGATAACATTAAATCAAGTCGCTATTTATCAATTATTTGCTGAAATAAAATATATTTTATCAAATACAATTATTGTTTATTATTGTATTGTGGGAAAAATCAAAAACAATAACTTATTTATATATTAAACTATTACAAACTATAATAAAACCAAATCTATAAACCTGAATGAACGAAAACTCTTCGAAAAAAAAGACGATAATATTTAACGACAACTGATCAATATATTCCAAATGAATTTTCTTGTTGTTCTTTTCTTTGTAGAGACATTTGCAATTACTTTCTACGACGACTTTTCCAAATATGAAGCGGAGAGTTACTTGACTTCTTATTACAACTCTTCCAGTTTTGATTTCATGACGAAAACAGTCTCCTCTAAAGTAGTTTACCAGCTCTCTGGTAAAAGCACATCAGCGTGTTACTCGACTCCAAAGACAATCAAATACATAAGTGTTGGGTCTGCTTCTGCACTTATTCAGCCTGTTGAAAGTTTCATGCCGGGGACCAGTTATGGTGTGACGGGGTTGACACTTCTTGCAACAACGAGTCAATTCTGGTCACTCAATTTAGTCGTCCAACCCGAGTCAAACAATTATAAACACTCTGCTGAACTTGGCTTGATGTATAACAATAGTTGGCCTGTCCAAGGGAAATATGTTTCAAAATCATATTATTATGTCAAGAAAGACTGGTCTTGGGCGTTTAACACAAAATACAATTTGACTATTTCTATCGACAAAACGATGATATCTGGTTTGATCTTTTCCGAAGCAAAAGAACTTCTATTTAATGCCACACACATCTTCAATGCAACTGAATCATATTTCCCGGGTGCACCAACATTCAAAGCGAATGGTGTGAAAACAAATTATTATCAAATCAGTGCAAGTGCATCTGAATTTTCTGATAAGACGTACAAAGTGTTTCCAAAATATGATGCGCATTTTGGGTGTGACTATCCACAACAACAAGAAGCCACCGGCTTCTTCCGTGTATCAAAAAACAATGTAGACAAGAAGTGGTGGTTCTACGATCCGAATGGGTATCCTTACTTTATGATAGGTGCAAACGCTATATCTCCATATGATGGGTACGACTATGTATTAGGTAAATCTCCATATAATGAGTTTATAAAGAACAAATATAAAGATT